CTTTCGTTCGGGAGAAATTTACGATAAGAATGACGATTTTCATGCAAATATGCTCGCAAATAGTTTGTTCGGGTAGAAATTAACTCAACAGAGTACAGCAAGCAAATCTGTATACTATGAGATATTTTTCAGTGCTAATTCTCTTTGTAATAATAATGAAATGATTCAAGTGTTTTTTCTCTGTGCGAAGGACGTTTCATAATGGAACTGAACTACATCTCGCTTAATACTCGATAAAGTGTTAGGAAAATTTTGCTATATACAGTCTACGACAAAAATTTAAGTGAAATTGAATTTTCAGTATTTTTTCTCAAATATTTTTTTTCTGTAGTATATTTTTATATTATTATGTATAGGTTTGATTCAAATAGTTATACAGAGAGTATGAGAGCTTAGCTATATCACCTATTAAAGAAAGACATTCTATCTCTTTATATAGATTTTTTCATAATTAAAATAATTTTGTTCTATTCAAAAACAGATTTCGGCGTCTTTCAGTATTTCGCATTTCCTACTCAAAAGATTTGTGCTAAAATAAAAGAAAATTTCACGCTCTATCAAATTTTTTCCTAGGATCGATCTTCACTTTTAAAACTTGACTTTAATTAGAATAACTGAAAAATACGAAAAAATGAAATTCTTCACATTCCATCATCGCTTGTATTTCAAGACAGTTAAAAGCTGGAAAAGTCCTGATCTTAAAGAAAATTCAATGCTCTAAAATCCTAGCTTAAAGATTCGAAATTGAATATAGAAGCAAAAGGAAGTCATTTTTTAGTAGTCCATCAATGTTTGAAATTTATTCTTCTTTTTCTGTTTCTTTCATCAATTTAATCAAAAAGGGCACAAAATGTATTTTCTTCAGATATGAACGAAACACATTTATATATGAAAAATATTATAAAACATCAATATCACATATATAAAGACTCTTCGACTTTAATGCTTCCGAACCTGACAATAAGACGTAGAGAAAATTATGCTCGTTTCAAATAGCTAGTGAAGAACATTATAGAAATCGTTTTTCCCACCGAAATAACTGAAAAAGGAATAGATTGTGATATGATGGAATTTGAAGAATTCCATTTTTTCTAATTAAAGTCAAGTTTTAAAAGTGAAGATCGATCCTAAGAAAAAATCTTTTTTATAATCTGGTAGATCGTGAAATGCTCTATCGATTAATAGAATTTTCTTTTGTTTTAGCACAAGTCTTTTGGTTAGAAAATCCGAAATCTGCTTTTGAATAGAACAAAATTATTTTAATTATGAAAAAATCTATATAAAGAGATAGAATGTCTTTCTTTAATAGGTGATTTAGCTAAGCTCTCATACTCTCTGTATAATCATTTGAATCAAACCTATACATAATAATATAAAAATATATTACG